CTCCTCCAAGCCTCCCATGAGGGACTGGCCACCTCTTCCCCTGCATTAGCAGCAGCTGCAAGAAGAGGTGGCTTAGGATACCTGAACTCCAAGGGGCAGTTCTAGATTTGACATTAGTGAGGGGCTATTACTGCTCATGAAATGGGTATCTGGCCGCAGGTAGGCAGAACAGAGTCAGGTATCACTAATTACTCCCTCGTTGTGCCAAACACAGATGCCCTCTTCCCTGCTCTTTGAATGCCCTTCTGATTAACCTAATCTAGTTAAGGCGTTTCCATGGCACCTCAGTCCTGACTTAAAGCATCTTTGCAGCCCTACATTGCTGCTATCCCAGTTCTGGGGCTTCACCTTGCTCTGCCAAAGACCCTGCAGCCTGCCTTGTTGCCCCTCCGTCCCCCCCGCCCCAATTTCACTATTCTCCTTCCTTGAGTTTTGTCAGATCCCCTTGAGAGGCGCCAAGATGCCTGCTCCCCCTTGGCCTGTGTTTCCCCTCCCTCCCTCTAGAGTGGTGTTGTGCTCCAGGCCCTGCTCTGGGGTGGAGGAGTTGGGACGTGTCTCTGCCTTGCTTGGCAGATTCCGTGGCATGGCCTAGCCTGTTCTCCGAGTTCACCTGTGACCTACTGGCCACATCGCTGCACAATTCCCAGGTTACGGAGGGAGGCAGCTGTGCTGGTGACTCTGTGGGGATTCAGTGTCCCATCGCTCCTTAAATGACAGGAAGCCGGCAGAGTAGCACCCTCAGACAAAGGATCCATTGGGAGGATCTCCTCTGCGATCAGAGCAAATTAATCCCCTTCCTCACTCTGCCGGAGGGCACCCATCCCACACTCCAGTGCAATGCCTTATCCCTCTCTTCTGTCATGCCTTTCCCTAGCTGCCTCATGGCTGAGACTGTGCCTCCTGCTTCTCCCATACACTTGACTTGCCCCTTCTTCTTTCACCGCCCCATGGGTTCATTTGTGGGGGCAGCCTTTTCCTGCTCCCTCAGAAACACTGCAAAGGGATTGCCTGCATGCCCTGGCAGGGATGGGGTTAAAGCACCACCCCAGACAGCCACTTTTCCCTGCGCTCTGCTAGCAAAGGGTCCGAGGAGCCTCATTAGCAGGTTGCCAAGTGGCCGTGGAGGCAGGGTACAAGCCACAGGAGAATAGACCACCGTGCAAATATATTGTACACAACCAGGCCAGCTGTTGAAGGGCGCTCTGCCCCAGCTGTGTACTCAGAAGCATCTAGCAGCCTGCATGATCAGCAGCACTGTGGAGGTGGGGAATGACCACGTCTTGTCTGTGTAACAGGAGTAATGTGGGGCAGGGAGCGCCGATAGGTAGTAGGGGATGGTGAGCAGAGGCAGAGCCTCAGATGGTTCAAAGAAGCAGATGTCCTGTTCCCACCTCCTTAATACCTTCTGCTCCCTGCTTCCCAGCCTCCTGGTAATGTGACTTCCCCACAGGCCTGGGCTCCCCTGCCACCTTGCCATGCCGTGGCGCTCACCTTTTGCATGGTGTGCAGGGGGACTTTGTCACACTTTCCAAAGACGGGGCCGTGGTCCTTGGTGGTAAGTCGCTCGAGTTTGGTGCGAAGGGCTTGCTCCTCCTCGGAGACAATCCGGAACGTTCCAGTCTGGGAGCAAAACCGCAGCTAGATGAGACCGCCTGGCAAGACTCGCCCTAGTAAGTGCCCCGGCCCTGACTGGTCCAGGCCTGGGGTGGGTCTGTGCATCCAGCGAGCCCTGAGAGCAGAGATGCCTACTGTGCCCAGAGCAACATCCTGAGATGCCAGCTCCCTGCACTTATCCAGCAAAGGTAACAGGGCCATCATGGGAGTTGGGGGGGCCTCCCTCAGCCTGGTGGAGGTATTAGGATCTGTGTTGGGGTCAGGAGGGGGGATTCCCTCAGACTGCAGGAGGTAATGATGTCTGTGTTGGGGACAGGAGGGGAAGGGCTCCTTCAGACCATGAGAAAGGGGAGGACAAGGTTGAACAGGGAGAAGGTTCCCTCTGCCACTGTTTAAACTCCTGCACTTAGCATGGACTGACACAGTAAAACTAGTTTATATGTGAAAGAAGCCTTCAAGCCTGTGAGACTGGCAAATGCCTTTACTCCTTACACACAAACCCCTCGTTGACACATGTGATTACCCAGGCAAATGGCCTGGCTTGACTTTGTGGGTGCCTTTGGAACAGGGAGAAGGTTCCCTCTGCCACTGTTTAAACTCCTGCACTTAGCATGGACTGACACAGTAAAACTAGTTTATATGTGAAAGAAGCCTTCAAGCCTGTGAGACTGGCAAATGCCTTTACTCCTTACACACAAACCCCTCGTTGACACATGTGATTACCCAGGCAAATGGCCTGGCTTGACTTTGTGGGTGCCTTTGAGGAAAACCCTGAGGAAACATGGTCCTTGCTGTGTCACTGTGGGCCACACGAGTGCATGGGGCCAATGGGAGTTGCTCAGAGAACAGACTTGGCCAGCCATGAGAGGTAGTAGTTCTGCCACCCAAGAGTGGCCCCCTAAAGCTCTACAGAGAATGATTTGGGGGTCTCGCTGTTAGCTTGAGAAACAGAAGGCGCTGGTGCCACCAGAAGTGTTGGGGAGAGGAAGGCAGGGAGGAGATGAGTTTCCCTGATGACTAGAGCTGTAGGCTCTATAGCAGGAAGAGAAATGGGCCTGGAAGGTGACAAGGTGTGGATCTGATTCAGTCATCAGTCCATGGCACTGAGCCCTTTCCATGGCTTCCATAATGTGTGAGCTAACACTTCAGCCATGACTGGTGCAGTGAACACCACATAAATACTTGCGTGGCAAGCCACTAGATCACTCCACCCCACCATCACCTTTGAGAACAGCATCAGTTGGTGGGTATGCCCATTAACATCAACAGTGATCCAACCTGACTGCCAGCCCGAGACACCCCCCCACCACCCAACTGGTGGGGGAATTGGGGAGTCAGGTTGCTGTGCACTTCACCTGACCCTGGCACTCTGGATAAGGAATGTTTACAGCCCAGCTGGCTTTCCCCGGCTCTGTTAGAGAATGGAGAGCAATGGCCCATTCTTGGCAGAGTTCTCTGTTCGTGCAGCTAGAGAGGGGACACATAAAGCTGAGCAAAGGAAGTACTCACTATTGCAGACATGCTGCTTCCTTATTGTCCACGGGACACTGAAAGAGACAAGGAAGAATCCCACGTTAAAAGCTGGAGAAGCATTTCCAAAGTGTTTCCCAACACCTGCCCTGAATAACAGCCAGGTAGCTGTGCCCTGGTCTGAACTCAGCCTGCCTTGCGCCCACTTCTACAGGAGTCAGGAGAGAAGGTGAAGAATTTGTCTGGAGATACTATATAAATAGGATGCCAACCTCCCCCATTCTTAGTTGAGATAATAATGCCACCTTCTGCCCATGGAAATCAAGAGATTCTATAAATATTAAAGGTTAATGTTTGCCAAAGTAGCCCTTGAATTTGAGTGTCTCTCTTCAGGCTCCCTGTGCTTCATTTTTCAGGGATGCTGAGCTCCTCGCTGGAGTTTTGGCAAACTCTGTATTCTGAGCGAGAATGAGATCCTGGAGGGCATCACCACAGACTACATGAGCTCAGTCAGTCAGGGTCCATCTTGTTCATTCATGAAAGATAAACACCTCTGTGGTCATGAAGCAGCTGGAGTGATTTGAGGCAGCAGACCAAATTCAATATTGAATCCTGGTCATGTGCCACCGGAGGTATGTTGTGCATATGTTAAGAAGAATGTCAGCTAGTCCCACGACCCGATAGGTTTCTGGTGGATACCTCACACAGCTCTACAGTACCTCTAGAAAGCTAGAAGAGTCTTTCCAGGCTGCCAGTCGCATGTTTCTTGCGGCCAGGGGTGCCTAGTAGGGTTGGTCAACTCCCAGGAAGGCGCCTTCCCCCTTCTAACTCCAGGGCTCTCCATTCTCTATGACAAGGGTTACACCTCGTCCACAAGAGTTTTGCAGGAACATGAAGAGGAATGCACAGAAACCCCTTTTGTAATCTGAGCCAATATCTTGAGTTCATTCTCTTGATGTGAGAGCAGCTCCCCCGACCTGCCTGAAATTTTATGAAGAGCAACAATATGTTCTATTTCTATCAAGCTCTTAATCCCAAAGGAGCCAGAGTGCATTCCAATTCATGGAGCAACTTTCTGACTTCATTGGGGCTGCTGCACAAGTCTAACTGGGAGAAGAACTTCCCAGTCTGTCTAGGAATTGTTTCATTCCCCCACGGACAAGTGGGTAATTCAGTCCTGTGGTACCCGGTACCATGCTGCCAATGCACTTGGATCCTGAACTGGAGAACCCCCTGCTATTCCTGCCTGAATAGTAGGTCATCTCTGTGCTTGGACCTCAAATCACTAGATGTCAAAACAACACAGCCTGTCTTCCATGCATGATCCACTCCTTCAGGTTCCTCCATTCTCTGACAGGCAAAAGCCCCTGTTTCATCTTATTGCCCAAATCCTAGCTGTGAAGTTTGAATGCATGTTTTGAATGCATGTCTGAATGCATGCATCCTAGTTTGAATGAATGAAAGAGCAAATTATTCTCCTGACCAACTCCCACCCACAGACAGTAGGACTCCTTTCATTATGGTTGTGCCCAGCACCCTATTCTCTCCCGGAAGCGGGTTGATGTTTCTGCTTGACTTGCTGTTCTCCTCTTTGAAAAGTCAGATCCATTTCCACAGAGGGACCAGTTACTGGGGCTAGCCTAGGAGCTGAACAGAACCAGCAGGGAGTGTTCTGAACAGACAAACAGACCTTCTCTCCTCAGAACCCAAATGCCCTGTTCCCAAAGCTCCTAGGAGCAGCTGCAGGTAACTCAGGGACTGAGGCACAGCCCAGATAGGCAGCCACAAAAGGCAGCTGGTTGTCAATACGTAACAGGGAGGATGAGCTGCAAACACAAAGTTCTCCGCCAAGCTCCTTACAGCAGCTTCTGCTGCAGGAGGGGGACTGGCAGGCTGCATAGGGCTTTCTGTCCAGTAGGTCTCCCAGCCCGTCCTGTCAGTGAAGCCAGTCTCTCTAGAACTATTCAGGTCAAAGCCACTCCATCCATGACAGTGGTTTCCCCCGGTTTGTTGTCTATCAGACTGGGAAGGGAAGGAAGGGGAGCCGTCTTGCTTAGGGCATTTCAAACCACGACTGGACTAAGCCCCAGAGAACTGGTTGTATAGGGCACGATCCTTTGTTGACCTTGGGAGCAGGCAGGGGGCCTGGTTTAACATCTCGATTACTATGAGCATGAGCCTCAGAATCGCGAATACTTACCGGGGAGATGCAAGAAGCCAAATCGTCCTGGAGGGGTCAGCGTCCGCAGCTGGGGGGCACCGGAGCAGAGACCTGACACAGACTGTGAGGGAGCAAGCAGGGCTGGAGTGGAGCAGGGGGAAAACCAGGCGAAAGCTTTGTAGAGTCACCGGGTTGGGATTAGGCCGTCACAAGGCATCACTCACAGCGGCTTTTTAATTAAGTCAGCTCAAAACAGGCAAGGGCCCCCATTAAAAATACAAAAGGCAGATGAGGAGTGGGAGGGAGGGAGCAAGTGGCCTCTTGGCTGGCAGGGGTGGGGAGAGGGGGAGCCAGCCAGTGGGCTCTTGGGCCGATTAGTGAAGTATAAAAGCTTCTTATTGTGTAACTGGGCCTTGCTCATTAGTATTTGGCAGCATAGAAAGGAGGGGGGTGGTGGCAGAGGAAATCATTAAAAATACAAAAGGCAGATGAGGAGTGGGAGGGAGGGAGCAAGTGGCCTCTTGGCTGGCAGGGGTGGGGAGAGGGGGAGCCAGCCAGTGGGCTCTTGGGCCGATTAGTGAAGTATAAAAGCTTCTTATTGTGTAACTGGGCCTTGCTCATTAGTATTTGGCAGCATAGAAAGGAGGGGGGTGGTGGCAGAGGAAATGGGCAGAGTGCCACTCCCTGCTCTTGGAAAAACTCGGTGTGTCCTCAAATGCAGAGAGACCTGGCTCCATGGCAGCAATCTCTGAATGGAGACTAAGGAGCTTCCATGCTCTCTCTCTTCCCTACTCCCACCCAAGAGCTCAGGGGAGAAGCAGTTGCCAGGTTGCTTTCAAGCCCTGCTCCCGGGATTAACACATGCTTCGGCTATTAGAATTTGTAAGTGAATTTGGTTATGAAAGCATGAGGGCCTGGCCCTGGAAACTAGGCAGAGTGCACTGAGATGCTGGACAGCTATCCCTCCCCCCTGCAGCTCTGCTGTTCCTCCATCCCAATTTGCACACCACTTGCTGGTCCAGCACTGGGTTCCTACATGCACTGCTCTGCCAATGCGCTTCACTTGCTTCCCCAACCCCATCCCTCCCTCCCCCAGCCCACCCGCCTGTCCTGCGCCCTGCTATTGCACCCTGAGGTCTTGGCTGGGCTGCTGTGTGTCTGCCAGTCAGATGAACAACACACAGCTATTCTGTGGTGGTTGTTTCTTTTCTAAAGTGAAAATATGGTTAGGATTTGTAAAGTACCCTGATGCAAATGTAGAGAGAGTGAACTGTGGATGCAGCCTTTCCCTCTTGCTATGGAGCAGGTATCATGTTAGTAACCACCAAACATCCTAGCCTTGGTGCACAGTGCCTCTGGGATACAATTATAGACCTGGAACAGAGGCAGCCTTTTATGATGTTCACTGCCAAAGGCAAGACAATCTCATTCCCCACAGGAGACAATCTAACTCCAGTTGAACAAAGTGAGTTCAGATCACCAAGGTAAATACACTGTGGCCCAGGGACCAGATTGTCCCTGGGGATCTCAGGTAAAGACTCTTAGTGGTAACCTTTGGAGCCTGAAATCAATCCACTAAAAGAGGACTTTGGAATCTCGTTTAAATGTGTAGAAAATATGAAGAGGGAAGGGCTCAGATTCCTTGCTTGGGTAACTCAGCTAAGTTCAAGGAGCTTTGAGCCTAATCTACAATTCCTCTTTGTTCAATTTTGTTACCATCTTGGACTTGTTCATTTTCTAAGCAGACTTCCTGGATTCTAGTGGGTTTGGACTGCAGTAAGTACTTGTACCCTCTCCTGTGCCCCAAGTTTCAGTTTTTAGCTGTGATGGGGTGGTTCCTCTTTTTTCTTGTCTTGTCAGATTCACCAGCAAGCTACATTGGCCAAGAACTCCACATCCCATCAATATCTTTTGGTAAAATGAGATCTATTTGCTTTTGACCCTCACTTCCAAATGGCTGCCCCTGGGCCTTTCCCAAGAGCTGTTCAATAACATGCCCATGATGTTTCTGTCCCACATCAAAAACTGTCATACAGCTGACTAAATTCCAGCCTGCTATAGGCACACCCTATAGTCAGTTCCTCAGTCTCTGCTTCATAACCAGGGTATTTCTGTGGAATTCTAGTGCAGCCCGGAAATCTCCTATGCCCACCGGACCTCTCTTTGCCAAGTAATTCTGAGCTGAAATTGAGGACTTTTGCCAAATCAGCCTTTTATATGGCTGGCTAGATTTCAGTGATCACTGGGCATCCCCCAGACTCTTCCTTTCACTGAACACCAAACTCAGAGGCTTAGCACACAGTCAGAGGGTTGCATTAGCCACTGGGTGAGTGGTAACTAAGTTGGAAGACACAGCTAGCTTTTTGCATCTTTCCATATCTGCAGATCCTTTCACAACTGGTGCTGCTGTGACAAAATCTCTTCTCTCTTTGATAAGAGGAGGATCTAACTTCCTCTTGAAGGACACTTCATCCTTGGGAACAAGGTAAGTTAACACAAGGGCCCATTGAGAACCACTCAATCTTAGCCAGGCTCTTATTCTGAAGGAGGCTTCTGAGGGGAGCTCCAGCTAAGTGGCTGGTGCAGGAATGAAGGGTTTTACACAAGGCATGTTTTGTAACACTGCTAGGATTTAAGGATTTGAATTCCATATCATTGCAAGGCAAACGGAATTGAGACCCTGCTGGGAGGGAGGAAGGAAGGAGACACATGACTTGGGAGGGGGCAGGCCTAGGGAGAGGTGAGGAGGAATGGCTTCTGCCAAAATCACTGAAGTTTGATATTCCATCCTCCAGGGATTTGCAACTCTGGGCTCTCCTGGTGCACAGTTCCCACTGTAGACTGTAATGCTACCCCTTGCCCACACTAAAAGATCTGGAGCATCCCCTGCTCCACTCCCACCCGTGGCTCAGCCCAGCTAGTAGGACAATGCCTGATGCTAAGAGCTATTGCTAGTGCTGGGTATGACGTCTGCTCTGAGAAGCCCAGCCAAGGATCCAGGTCCAGTCACAATGGAGGCTGCCTGGGAAGGTTCCGGATCCTTGGGAATCTCTCCTGCTTCAAAGGGTGAGCGTTTCCCTCCTGACTTTACCTGGACCCATGACAAGCACCTTCCAAATGTACAGTTCTTCCCACTGAGCAGTGTCCATCTCCAGAACAATGGGCCCATTGTGGTTAGTTGGGTGCCAGCGGCTGCTTTGTCTGTGAGTCAGTCAGAGCCCCTCGCAAGCAGGTTGTTGGAGTGGAGAAAATGATGATGATAATTAAACCATTGTTTTGCCTGGAAGCAAGAGCAATTATCAGTAAGGGCTGCACCAGGTACCCTGGACTCCCTCCTGCAACTGGGGTGGCTGGGAAGCCTTCTCTCTCTGGGAATCCCGGAGAAACAGCAAAACAGAGCAGGCCATAAGAGCCCTACCACTGCAAAGATCTTGTATTTATTGGCTCTTCACTCCCACACAATGTGCCTTCCTCTGGGAGACGTCCTGAGGCTGTGGGTCCTAAGGAGTTTGACTGAGGCTGTGCTGAGTAGAAGCACATGGCAGTGGGAGAAATGAAGGGGAAAAGAAAAGACAGTTTGCCAATGGGCGTAGGGGGAGCAGTGAGAAGGACTAAGGTCCCCTTGGAATAGCACAGTGGTTCCCAACCTTTTCGAGCATACGGACCCCTTTTCGATCTATTAAAATTGTATGGACCCCCCCCAAACAATATAGCTGTTTTCAAACTTTCCATTACTTGACAATGCGACAGCTAGCATGTCCCTTGTCCCATCCCTTCCTCAGCTCCCGCCCTGTCCATCCCCTGCCCATCCATGTCCAGGCACAGAGCCCTGGGGGAGAAAAAAAAAAAAAGAAAAGGGAAAGAAAAATAAGGATCAGGCCCACCATGGGACTGGAAGGGGAGAAATGGTCACAAACAGTGAGTCCCGGGCAAGAATCCCCTGGTGGAAAGTCCCCCTCCCACAATGGGCCCGATCCTTACTTTTAAACTTTCTGCAGACCCCCTACAATACCGTCGTGGACCACTAGGAGTCTGCAGACCACAGGTTGGGAACCACTGGAATAGCAGATGAGAGATGTTGTCCTAACATGCCTCCCCCATGTGTTCCTCCTGACACATGTGGGGATACAAGAGGAGAGTTCTCCTTGCAGGACTCAGGGGGCTGAGCATGAGATGAGAGAGGCCAATTTTGGGGCTAGTTAGGAACAATGATTAGTTGCCTGCTTCCAAACAGAACCAGTTTCTGCCCATGAAGTTGCAGGATGAGGGTGGAGAATTGTGAGGAGGGGGAGGGAGAAGATCTTCTGGGATGCACATCAGATTTTATGACTCATTTCCCCTGAGAAGGGCATGTGCGTGTGGATCGGTAGGAGCCTCCACTTCTGCTATAGCATGAAGCCAAGCTGCATGTCCCACTCACTTACTTGTCAGTTTACTGTTACATTTCCAAGGTTTGTCTCAAAGAAAAGGATTGTATAAAATGAAAGCCTGAGGTTCCCCTTTCTGGAGCCCAATAGTGGCTCTGTTTGGCCCCTCCATCTCATCTGTGTGTGCAGGGGACATGAACACCTTTGGCCACTCATTGCCAATGTGTCAGGGATAAGAAAATCCCTTTGGGTACCTCTAAACTGCGGTGCTATTTTGGGGTACTGCTGGTATCCTGAAATAGCTATTCCGCATCTTTGAAACAAACTAATTATTTCAAAATATAACGGGCTCGCTATTCCGACATCCCTGCAAACCTCATTCCACAAGGATTAAGGGACATTTCGGAATAGTGATTTATTTCAAAAAAAGTGCTGTGTAGATAGCGCCAAATTACAAAATGAGCTATTTTGAAATTAACTCAAAATAAGAGTAGCTTATTTCAAGCTATGGGTGCAGTGTAGACTTGCTCTTTGTAACCCAGATTTGGAGAGAACGCGGGATGGAAAGAATGGTATGAAACTTTTCCTAGGAAAGGGCATGTTGTGTAGCCAATGCTGGGGTACTAGGAGTCTCTCACTCCTGGATTCTCCTCTTGTCTCTTCCAATGACTTGCAGTGTGACCTTGGACAAGTCACATCCCTGCTCTGTGCCTCAGTTTCCCCATTTGCAAAATGGGGACAGTAGCACTCATCGCCACCTTTATAAGGCCAGGACTGAGGTTTTAATAAATGCTTCCAGAACATGGTGTGATCTTCAGATGAAGTTGCTAGAGATTTGTTATCCATTGTAACATGCTGCCTAGTGTGTATGTTGCACCCCTGCCTGCTCCTGGATGGAGTCAGAGCTGCTCCATGTTTC